TTTGTTCCGCCTTAATGGCAATAAATAAGCAGACTTTTTTTTAATTTCGAACGGGATAAAAGTATCCTATGTCCTTCTCCTGGCTCTAAACTACCTCCCTGACAATTTTCAGCTAAATCGGTTCAGCCGTTCTTGAGTTATAAGTGAAGTAACTAACACGACTTTCTTTTATATATACAGGGTGGAAACGATAAGTGATCTCACTCGATTATTTCTAAACTATACAGTATATCGAGAAACTGGTTACTGATCCTGAAAGTGCTTCACGAGCTCTTTCAAACGGTACCAATAACAGGTTACAGAGTAAACTGGAAGTATCTGAAAATTCAATGTTTCCAGCTTCCATACGAAATGTATGCCAAACACAGAATATTAGAAGTGTATTTTTTTTAAATTAAATAAATAAACTTAAAATAAACTCGTAAATTGCATTCTTATTTAAAATTAATTATGGAAAACATTACTTTTAGGCTTTCCTTGCTATAAAATTTGCTATAATATTATCAAGAGATGAGTGCCATCTGTGATAGTACTAAATGTATGGAAGAAAAACATTGAATTTTTAGATAGATCCAGTTTATTCTGTAACTTAATATTGATACCATTGGATAGAGCTCGTGAAGCACTTTTAGGATCAGTAACCAGTTTTACGATCTCTTTTGTAGTTTTTAATATTATGAGGCTGTACCAAATGTATGGAAGCTGGAATCATTGAATTTTCGGATAGATCCAGTTTACTCTTTAACCTATTATTAGTACCGTTTGATAGAGCTCATGAAGCACTTTCAGGATCAGTAACTATTTTTTTAATATCTTGTATAGTTTAGAAATAATCGAGTGAGATCACTTATCGTTTCCACCCTGTATAAGATAAATATTAAGAAAACACGCCTAGGAAAATAAAATAACGAAGTAGGTACATACCTTGTCGAAGTGTACGGTCACCTCAGTAGCTGTCTGCTCTGTCTGTCAGCAGTCATGGTTATGATTTTTTAGTGTTCTTGCGATTGTCTCAAGATTTTGATTATCTACGACGATGATGAAAGGAGATGACGACTGTGTAGTGGACACAGTCCAAATAAATTATTTTAAAATCAATAATACACATACAATGTTATATTATGTTACACCAATTAAGTAAAATGATTTTCCTAAAATCCCTTTTCGATATGTAAGAATGATTACCTTAACTTAGATAATTCCAGTTTACAGTCAATCTGCTGGAGAAAAAAACCTCGATAAAACTTGACTTGTCCCGTCACTAGCCTTTAGTGCATGCATGCACCACAGCTAGTGCGTTTTCTAGATACTCGTGCGGTTGTACGCCATTGCCGCCTAAAATGCTGCGCAAAATTCAAAATCAATGGTGCTTTGTAGGTATTCGCTATCTAATGTCTTTAGATGTATAGGTATGTGTACCTACCTATAGGCAGACCAAAACTGAGGCTAAGTATTTGTAAGGCTTTGTGTGTCAAGATCAGATAATACACGTTGTATCTAAGGGACAGGTAACACAAACTTACAGTCTATAAGTAAGTAAATACTTTGTTCCAAATTAAGTTATATGTATATAGGTAATATTTCCTGATTGGGTACGCTTCCTACAATTTAGATGAGAACGTCAATAGCAATGCTAATGATAAACTGAATTATATTGGATTTAGCATTTATCGTAATAAGTGGGCGTGTTTCTATTAACTTAATTCCATCATCATACCATCTATTGAACGTTTATGATTAGGTATGCATTAATAAAATAAAAATAAATGATACCTAATATGTATTTCGGTTGGTGAGAATGTTTAATTTATAGATGCTAATTTATCAAGAAACTAAAAACTGAATGGGGAAAAAAAAGGAAAGTTTCTATAGCGGCTAAATTGTTTGTGATAGAACTTTTCCCGGCTGATAGCTGATATTAAGTATAAAAAAGTGACTTAAAAAAAATAAGATAAAACTTATTTAAGCACAAACAATCCGTGACAAAAACCAAATATGTATGTACTGTCGACTGTGTGTCAGAGTATTCTTGATATAGTATTCGACTGAAAACGAAAATTCTTCATGCATGGTCCAATATTGCTTGATAAATTTTGCAAACGAGTACAGTGCCAGATTTCTCGAACACGGGTGGTGCAGTGTTGTTTGTACCTATCTGAATTTCACAAGTAAAATGAATTGTATAACCTACCAAATTAAATAACACGTAACTTACTTACCTATTCCTTGTACAAAAAATAAGCTATAAGTAATTATCACAGGTCTTCATGATAGGTATTTGTAGGGCTTCATAATAAATTACTACTACGTATCTACTTAATTCAAGAAAACAACACTGAACAGAAGAATAGTTTAACCACAATGTGCTAAAATAAGATAATAATGGGCTATTCAATTTGCAATGTCTTTTGTTCGTAGTTCGTCTAGATTACCTAGAAAACTTGAAAAGGATTGTTTTCAACTTTTTCTTGTTCAGTGAATTCAGCAGCGTGAAGCGACAACGTTTTTTTTTCTTCAAAACTGGAAAGGATGCTTTTTATTTACTTTTATTTTGCATAAGATGAAATACTTGCTTAATACTTTACTTACCTAATAGGCAGGTGTATGTGTTGGTCTACGATACAAATACAAGGAATTTTAAGAACAAAAGAAGAAGAAGAAGAAGAATATAAAAGTTTAGATGACATCCAAAGGGAAGTTTTATTTCAGAAGCTTTAAAAAGTTGCACCATTTATCGCTTTCAATTTTGACTGAATTTTTTGAAATGACCAGATATCGTAAAACGAAAATGTCCAAAGGCTTTTTGTATAATATAAACAGTCATTCCCAGCTTAGGGCATCAATCAATCTTAACTAAGTATCTCCTACTAAGGGTTTCAGAGTGGGATTAGAGGTAGTATCTTTAACTTTTTCCTACTCTAAATGAAACTTTTTTATACTCAAGAGATACTTTCCTTTTTCTCACACGAAAGCAAATAAATAAACCAGTACATTTTCCTTACCATTCCGGTATCAAACTGAACGCTGGTGTAACTCATAATAAAAATTATCTTGTACGTGACCCGAATTTCGTTTTCCTAGTGGAATCTTGATTGGCTTGTCTATCCACCTATAATATCTACGTAAACCGATGAATATTTACCAAACTAAGGGAAACCTTATTCTTTGCACGTGCCAAGAGAAAAAGTTAGATGTAACGCTCTCCATGGGCTGTTAAATAACAATTCAATTCAACTTCAAGATAAACGTTGAAAGAGCTATTGAATAACCGGTATTTTATATCATAAAACATTTTTGATCGGAAAATTATTTCGCATTGTACAGCAGCAGCATTCGCAGGTACAATTCCTTCTGTTTTTAACCGACTTCAAAAAAGAAGGAGGTTATTTGTAATAATAAGCATAGGTAATATAATAATAATAATATAATAAAAGTGTAAGGCTGAGTTGCACCACCTAACGTTAACGGTAACTATAACGATAACCGGTGCTTTTTGTATGGAGTTTGACAGATTTTTGATGTTTATCAAAATTTAAGTAAGTTGGTGGAACCCAGTGGTACAAGGTTTCCTACCGTAGGTAAGTAGTTCAATAACCTATGTAAAGGAACCCACCACAGGTGGGTCAAAGTAAACAAACAAACAAAATAGGCCTCAGAACATACATATTAAATTACGTGGGCCAGAAACCTTAAATTTTAATAGCATCTTGAAGCGATGGTTGAACAACCTGCCATAAAATGCTATAAATTCTACAAGGCAAGGTTTGGCATGTCAGCCCTTATCAAAACTTCATTAAATGGTTTTAAATCTACATAGCAGTACCTAATTAGTTCATTACAGTATTATGTAGTGGTTTAGGTGTAATTTATCAACCCTTTCACACCTCAATTTCGGAAGTTGGAGGTAAGTCCTTCTCTGGTTGAGGATTCCGGATGAAGCTCGCTGTCACTTGAGGCCTGATCATCCTTTTTCATCAACCGAGGTATTGACCAAGATCTTCCTCATTCTAACGAAAACAAATATCACTAACCCCACGTTCGCTATCGGCCTACTTATACAAGAAACCATGCATTATTTACGGTGCCTTTTTTCTTATAACGTTTCAAATTTCCATAATGATAGATCATAATATTGCTTGTGTTAAATTGACTATTAATGACCACCGAATTAATCGACAAACTGTAGTTAATGCGGTGTGCATTATATTAGGGAGCGGCTAATACATAAGTAATACATAAGGAATATTAATTTGGGTTAATAGGCGATGCTAAGCTAATTTATGAAGGCATTAAGCCTTGTCTGCAGTGCTGGGTAGTTGCTGACTGGCACATCACTCAAGTCGTAGCAACCGTAGCCCGTAGCAGGTTAGTTCGTAGATAGCTCGTAGTAAATGGGATTTTTTTTGTTGCAAGCTCCGATTTTAATACACGCTATTTGATTTATGCGTGTCTTTGAGTTATATCGATAATTAATTCGAATTCGAATCGAAGTATCTATCTTTAACTGTCTTTGTAATAAATAATTTGACTTAGCTGTCATTTCTCTACGTCCCTTAATTAAATATTAGGTATTTGATGTGACTCTATCGCATAAAAAATAATATCTAGAGGCCCTGGTAAAGGTACGATTGTTTGGAGATTAATATTAAACCTGTAGTGTGGATAAGACCTTATTGTTATTACAGAATCAATACTTACTTGAATGCTGGCCAAGGTTTTCAGATTTTAATATTTAGAATCCTTTATATCTAGCTTACATTATTCTAGTTTTGCATAGTTATGTAGGTATACGGGAAGAAGGAAATTCTAAATACAATAAAACCATCAAAATTTTTACATATTTTTATTCATTCTTTTATGTAATCATCAGAGTTGTACAACTAAATAATCACAGTTGAAACCAAACATAACTATATATAGATAATATTAATGTCTAAAATAAAACTTGAGTGCACCGGCGGGCGCGTGTTAGCACCCCCATACATTGTCTTTGTACTGGCGTTGTGTGCTCTGCGGGTTTTGTTTGCGAACAATTTCGATCTTATCCGTCTCTCTCACGCATGCCTGCATTCCTTTTGGTGTGATCGAGTCGAATATATCGAAATAGTTCCGCGGAGTATTGCCTCTGCTTTGCAAACGTGCGTAGAAGCACTTTACGACGCGTGAATGCAATTGGAAAATACAGAAATGCGTTCGGAAAATTACATTTGATTTGACGCTGCTTAACAACCTCGGTTGCCTAGAGAAATATCATAACTATAAGGGCTTAATATGGATAGAGATTAACAGCATTCTTACATGCTAGTAGTATAATTATACTCCCAAATGTCTAACTGTCATATCTCTGGCAATTTTCACGCCCTGCTCTATTACGCAGCTGCGAGTCTAGGTCTTAATATAATATCTTATTGTTATGTCATTGTTTTATCTATAATAAGGGTTTGACTTTGCATATGCTAATGGTTAAAAATCAACTGGCAACCGTCCGAAGTTATCACTGGAATATAAAGTCAGGAGCCGCCGCCACAGCTGTTGCTCGCGTTAATCACGAGAATAACTCGCGGGTATCGCTTTTTTCCCTTGTGACCATTTATAACGCGGTGTAAATAAATGAACAAACACGACGGCGACTTACGATAAAGGAGGCTTTTGGGAGTTTGTAAAAAAACGCGTCTGGACCTCCGCGGCGCTGCGGCATAAAATTGTACACGACGAAATTATATTTTTACCATCTTCGTCCTCGCAAACCGGTTTATTACATGAAATTTTCGCACAGGAATCCCTTTACGTAGAAGCGTCATGTATGTTGCGATTTTTATGCTGCAGCACCGACGGAATTAACTCTAGACACACGCTTAGACACTGCAGAGCTTTAAGACAGAACGAACCGAGCATAGTGTGCCGCATAGCACTTCCAAGGGAAAATGTCATTTATAAAATAGTCCAAAACTTACAATATAAATGTGTTGTATAAGACTGAAATACAAAATCGGACTGAAATCACTATAGTAGTTGTCTAAAATATATGTACGATATTGGCAGTGTAATGATATTAATTAACATAAAATAATGAAAACGTGATGTTCTTCCTCAGTCTAACTAGTATCAATGCCTACTTACGAATAGTAATTAACGAGAATTGCTTTAATATGGATGTATCTTAATGCTTATATATTTGTCCAGTGCAAACTAGAGGGTGACCTTACAGTAAGGTATTCAAAGTCTATAATTAAACAACCGAATTTACTAAATCTTAGGCTTTCAAACGCATAATAAAATCAGTCATTTTAACGCAATTCAGTATATTCTATAATGTACACTGATCGTAATTCGATGTCGATGTGACACAGTTGCTAGAACCACTTTTATTTTATTAAATTATTTAAATATAAATTCTTAAAAATTAATCTATAAATTAGTGACTTCTAACGGTTTCGAACAACTATCTCACGTCAAAATCGATAGGGTAATACTCTAGCACAACACTCTTATTAAGATATTGATATTTTCCTAGGTGCGACTAAATTTATATGTAAACATACGAATAAATAAAGTGCAAACACTTAAGACTACCGACATAGCTGCATCGATAATGCTTTAAATTGGCACAGTCCCATTCATACCGACACCGGCGCTCGCGCAGCTTGTTCATGAGATTCTTTCCTGAGTGGGACACAGGACCGTGTCGCGATGTAAAATTAATTTAAGTCTCGATAAAGGTGCATTTTCTTATAACTATAAACGCGTTTGATGAGATCAAATTCCAAACAAGTCAAATTTATCAGAGTATTAAATTATAATAAACTTATGTTGATCGATTTGAGATTTTTATAAGTAACAACGCTCTGAAGCTGCAGTGCCGTCTATTTCTCTCGCCCATTCAATCTTCCCTGACACGCGTCACCCTCGCTGTCGTCAGTACTCACACGAACATAACTTACATCCATACACATTCAGTCCAACTGAAAACTTTCCACGACCCATGACTTTATAATTATCTACCGTAGATTAGTCATTTCCAGGTAATCTATATCTAACACTACACGGAGACATTAGGAGAGGAACACCAGTTACTGTACAGTTCACTTACAATTTAGAGTTGAATTATTTCAATAGGTTCATATTTAGCTAAAGACAGGGGTTAGTGTCAGTTATTATTGTATTTACATCCCCCTGTCACATTTCAAATGAGCACTATAAACTCGATGTCCGAATGGACCGCTTTATCTATTTTTATTGTTATTATAAAATATAACCATATTCTCTTAACCTAGATTAATATTGATTTAATGCTTAAGGGCCATATGTTAAGTGATATCACGTAAAGCTGTGGACTTACAAAATACTCGTATAAATTATTCACATTTATAGCACACTATCTACAAACACCCACGATCAGATTCACGACTGGCCCTCCAGCAGAAATCCGCTTAACTCAGTAACTTCCAATAAAATACTGACTCATAATATGGCTAAATCGAATAATAACTTATATCAAATATTTGGTGAAGATATACGTTTAAACTTTATAAAAACGACGCAATTAAATAGTTACCTTAAACGAGTACTTAAGCTAAACATTCTACTACAAATAAAGTCGTATAAAATTGATAAGAGTTACAAGTCGCGGCCGTAGTTGAGTTGGGCTCGCTGGTTTATTTACAAAATGAAAGTCCGCGGTAAATGGGAGTCGAGGAAGGAGTGTGGCTCCCGAGATAGCAGCTTTATGGCGGTTTAGTGGGAACGATAGTGGGAGACAATTGACTAAATGTGCGCGGCGGCGCGGGGCAGGGCGCGGGGCCTACAGCTGCTCGTCCATGTCGGGCCCGTACAGGTCGGCCAGCTTGTCGAAGCGCGGGCCCCACGCGCCCAGGTAGTCGTAGTCGTGCACCTCGTCGTCAGTACCTATGGAAAACTCACCATTTAATTCTACACATCTATCTATTGCAATAACTGTACCTCTAGCATGAACAACTTTCGTCTTCGAATCGTTTGCGTATTCGACAAAATTCGATACTCAACCTTCGAATTAAACGATAACGTGACAATTTTGATTCTCAACATAAGTTTCGTGCAACCATTTCTCATACTAAGTTAACTTTACGACACGTTCACAAGGGCGCTGTTGTAGTTTTCGTACTAAATCTTTTGATGGCAATTCGAATACACAAACGATTCGAACTCGAAAGTTTTTCGTGCTAGCCGTACTGAGACGTTATCAGTCGTGGTTTCCAAAGCACATAATCATTGCTTCTAAGCGACAACGGACACTGGGCGACAAGCGACAGCTCGGCGACTTGACGCCTATTCTTGTCAATTTCATATTACCTATTAGCTTGTCGTTGCAACAAAGTCGCGGAGTCGCAACAAGAATAGGCATCTAGTCGCCGCGACTGTCGCCCTGTGTGCGCAGTCCCTAATGGACAATCAGGCTGATTCAAGACCGCAATGTCATTAACACACATAACTACTGTAACGTCATTTGACTTGAGCGTTCCCTAACCATTGGATTATGAATTTTGGTAAAGATGTCTCACAAGCTTTCTTCTTTGGAGTAAGTAACTATTTACTTAGTACTTTTTGTTGGAATGCAAGTGATCTATCAAGTACGCAAATTGTGAACAAAAATTTTGTTGTTCTCAGAAACTTTAGACAGGTCAATAATCAGACAAGACACATTTGTCTCTCGTGTCCATGCTGAGAACAAGTACGTGGTATCCAGGACGATGGAATTCCAGCGATGGCTTATCAGTATTCGAAACAGAAGATTTTTTTTAAATGGAGTTTCTCTTTCTTTTTTATTTCAGGCCAGATCTGCCAAAATGTAATCTTACATACATGCCAGTTTACGCGGCGTCGGACTCCGCCATGTAACACGATTTACGGCGATCTCACCAAAGCACAGCACAGCTTGAGGTCATGCCACCCTCATTTTATATGAATAATTTACACGAAAACTGGGAGAACTTCAATTTTTCGCTTCATACATTGTGAATGAATCGCCTCTGGGCGCTTTCATAAATTTTAAAGCGGAGTCACGATCGAAACCATGCGATGTCGATGACGAAGGAACTTGGCGAGTTCGGCAGACTTTGGTGGCACCGAACTCGTTATTGTTCTTAGTCTACACCAGGTCATTCATTCCTGATAAAGCGGATTAGTGGACAGATGCCCCCAATAATCCTTTCTTGGTAAAGGAATTTGGGAATTGGGTTTTGAAACGGAGTGCAAAGGTTTGTAAGCGCCTTTGGTGACACAGTTTTAAGCATTCAAAATTACGGGGGTCCGATTTCTTCTTATAAAATTATTTGATTTCCTTTTGGTGACCTACTGATCTCCAATTTAAATTAGAGACCCTTATTGCATATTGTTTATGTATTTTATTTATTTTACTTGGTAATTCATAACCAATTATAATCTCAATAGTACATGGCAGTAGATATCAATGATGGCATGCCTTCCTTCTTCCAATTACTTACTGCTTGAGGGGTAATAAAACCCAACCAATTTTCACAAGACGGGGTAAAGAAATATATGACTTTGTGTAGATAAGGTAAGCTTGAATCAACTGATTATCCAGTTCAAAAAGTCTATTACAGTCCATAATGATAGAAAAATAAAACAATTGAAGTGGTTTGCTAGCTAAATCCAATGGCTAAATCTTGAATCAGATCGCCCAGCCCATAAAGTTATTGCTAGATGAATAAAACAAATGAAAACGATATAAGATTTCAAATTTTCGTGTTCCATTTCAACTAAATTAAACGTCAAGCCGTAAGTACAGTATAGATGACCCACGCTGAACTGTCCCACCAAACTCAATGACAGGGGGGCGCTACCATCGTTCAACTATATGGTTTCCAACATGGCAAAAATCGGAACCAGCGATCCGGTATTGACGGTGGCGCCCCACTGTTAATACCGGATCGCATGCATGCATCATGCATAGGACAGTTTAGTATTTTGGAACTATAACTCTATTTTAGTTGAAATGAAAATGATCTTCTTACTCACCAGATGCAAGAGACGACAGAGACCCAGCGGTACTGCCGCCGCCCTCATACGCGTAGTTGCGCAGGTCGTCAAACGGCGGGGCATTGGGATCACTGTCGGCGCGTCGCTTGTGCTCCTCGATGAACATGCCCACGTTGGTCTCCCCTGGCAGAGGCACCCCCACGCCTGGGGCCACGCCCACGCCCACGCCCATAGGACCCACGCCGAGGCCAACGCTCATTAATGGATCTGGAGAGAACGAGGTTGGTTAGATTGCAACCCTGGGTAAGGTTAAGACAGAGATCCTAAATATCATTTCTTTTTTCTAGGAAGCCTGCTTATTAGGTACAATCCCTATCCTACTCATGGTGATGAAATTTCTGGGTTACTCCCTAGGTTCCTAGTAACATCGTAGTCTACACTAGATTCCACGTTGCTCTAAATGAAAACACAACCAGATCGAGCCAAGGTTGTGACCTCAATTGTTCAATCTTACACGAATAAGAAGAATTGAAGAGACAGTCTTAATCTTATCTTATATTAGTTAGACAAGATGAATGTTAGAATCATCAACGCAAAGAGAAATTGTGTTTGTTTTTAATTATGACAAAATTAATTCGCCGGCACAGAACGGTAAGTTAATTGTGTAATGCGAGTAAATGTATACGTATGTAAAATATCCGTAGGTTATCTATCTTTCGATATCTCCGTGGAAGTGTCATTACTCACCTCTTAGGGAGACGAGAACGCCGTCAAAACAGATCGTCCTAAATTCTAGGAAAAACGCTATCCATTTAGCGAGTTTCATGAAAACGGCGTTGATTAATGAAACAAATACAGCGAATATTTACAAGGAAAATTTAAATCAAGTTCAATTAATTTAAGTCGTCCAAGATTTAAGTGCAATCGATAATTTGGAAACGAAGGTAAACATGTGATTCAATTAAAAACATTTCAATTAAAATTAAATGCTATAAAACTAAAGCAATACACCTATATCAACCTACTTTAATAAAATATCGCATGTCAGAAATATTCTCTGTTCGATATTCCATGAATGAGGAGCAAAGTATTAAGTTAGGTCATACTGATAAACGGGACCACCATTCTACCTTTCTCGTTCATATCTCTATATTGTTTTTCAAATCACGAAAATATTCACGAAAGAGCAGTTTTCGGCGGGTTGGAGGAATATGAATGCTTATTGGATCCCCGACATTTGCGGTTCACTGACAAAACGTGACGCATCACTTTGTTACAGAAATACTTATTTTTTGAAATAAATGAATCAACATCCACAATGGCTATTTTCTTTGACAGTCAACATTATAGAACGGACATCCCAAGGTATCAACCCTAATGGTAATATAAAAGGATTTATGTTTTCTTTCCTAACATAAAGAATTGAAGACATTAATAACTTATGACTAAGTGTTTCTCATATCACTTTAGCGAGAGCGTTATCGTAATGAAACGACTATACTCGGATGGATGATGTTTTACATAAAACACTTTATCTTATTACTGTAATCTTCATCCATACATTTGCCTGAAAATAGGCATTTGAAACCATTCACCATTAATTTATAAAGCAAAAAAATAAAACACTATTCTGGTGTTAAAAACTCAATTAGGATTTTAAATCAACAATTAAGATTGGTTGCTTTGTAATTGATAAAAGTTAATCAATTGAGGAGACAAAATAGTGACGTCATCGGCCTCGTATTGCCCTACAAAATCTATGGGAGTCTCGTTTTGACAGTTCATAAAAAGTACGTCAGTTGATTGGACCCTATTATCACGGTAATACTATCTATACAGTATTCCAACTCGGCCATATTTTTGAAATAAATGTCAACAGCCGAGCGGTACGTCACCCTATGACAACATGCGATAGGGCTGCCCACCTACGGACCCTATTTTCACTACATCTGCCTACTTAGAATTTCTATCTAGTTTTGTGAGTGTATTTTGTGATTGTAATTTTTTATTTTATTTTGACAAACAAAATACTTTGTCAATGAAATAGGATAAAAATGCATGTTGTCTTGTCATTAGTAGATTTAACTAAAAAAAATATTTGTGTTAAGATTTAGTAACAAATCTTATAAATTTGCGACCGTAAAATGTATGCTCCTCGACCGAGGCGTACAAAATGCTTGATTTATTATACAGAGTGTTGGGTAAATGGGTTTATAAGCAGACACTAGCCCATGTTAACATGTGCATATAAATGGTATGGTGAAGTCAGAAATTTTATATCAGCATTGTAATAATTTTAATTTTCATACAAATCTGATTTTATATGAAAATTTAAAAAAATATGATATCACTGACTACACCATACCATTTACAATATAATGTTAATATGGGCTAGTGTCGGCATAACAGCCCATTTACCTAACACCCTGTATAAATAGGTACTTGTAATTGTTTTTTCTAAAAACAACACTTACTGTTTACAAAACAACACATCGTCAGTTTATTACTGTGGCACATTCGCGACACCCCCGACTTTTGCATGTCGAGCGCATACCGAGATTTGAATTTCGAAGGAAAACTCGCGTTTCGTCCGTTTATATGAAGTTACAATACTGTATGATAGTATTACCGTGCTATTAATGAGGTACATGAGTGATACTTACATGGCAGTTTCGTTGGTGCATGATCAGGCAAGGGTCCACCGATGGGTATCTGGAGCGGGGTGATGTCAAAGGCCGTCATGTCATCCTCGCCGCCGCCCTCGTCATCATAGTTAATGATGTTCTCTCTGACGTCATCGTCCGGGCCTGGGTATTTGATGTGAGCTTCTCGCCGACGGTTGTATACCACGAATACCAGCACCAGAACTGGTTGGGAGAAAAAGATATTTAGATAATGATAAAATGAGTCAAATTTTTTTAAGTTACAAACTGGGTCAACCTATTGAAATTATTAGGCAGCCAGCTCAAAAAGAAGATTCCGTTATTTCCGTTCCATTCCAATAGCTCTCATCCCAAGAAGTGAAAAACGGACTATACATTTTTGTTTACTTATCCGTAAACGAATATTTTATTCGTCGACAAATAGTAAAATACCCCGTCTAACTAAAGCTCAGTAGTCAGACGTTTTATTTAATATTGAAATATGTATAAAGGACGGAGTAAGCATCTAGCTAGAATGAAAATTACTGATCCGTATTTAATGACATAATAAAAAGGGCTAAAGGTATGTGCCTATGTAATACATAAAGGTAACAAGGTCGGAAAGGGTGCTTAGTCAGCCTAAGGGGGAAATCTTTGAAGTTAAAAGTTGTTGAGTAGTCGTCGCACGTTCGAGTGTTGGGAATATGATCGATTATCCTGCGAAATGGAAAATCCGCTCTATTTCTCAGACTTAAGTATTAATTTTGTGTTATAAATGATAGATTTATCCAATGTTAAAGGAATTCAATGTTAAGATCGCTAATTAAGCTGATACATTCATGTTAAATAAAGTTGAAATGACTGATACATTCATGTTAAATAAAGTTCGGGACTTTCAATTAATAATTGAATTCAAATGATATTGCATGAAATACCAATAACACGTGAAAATAAATGATAAGATATTCGTTTCGCAAGTAAAAGTACATCCCAGTTAAACTGAATAAGTAATTGGCACTCTGAATGATGATATGGTAATTTGAAAGTATGCACTCGTGTGAGTAATTTTATTACGGAAAGCAAATGGAAAATGTTTATAGTAAAATTAATAAACGTTATTTACAATAATTCTACGAAAACAATTGTTGCAAGGAAATTGGCAATAACTGAGATATAGTTAAGGGCTGCTTCAAATAATTTCAATTTCCGATAGATATTTAATAAAGGAAAGGGCCCAAGGGACACTCAACGGAATAGAGCATAGAATTATGATGAAACAATTATTTAATTGTATCGATATCGGAATATCTCCTAAATTCCATTTCATCTAAACTTCGTAACTCCAATTTATCTACGATGATACTTCAACTAAAGTTACTGTACATACCTATTTATAAAATGAAACATTTAATTCTAGTTACACACAATGGAAATAACTAAAAATGTACGTGATCACTTAATACTTGTGACTAAAATGGGGACGGAACTTTACTATGTTGATTAATGAATATAGATTTTAAAATATTTTATGGAGCTCTATATTCGGTCAGCATCAATAATTTCGGCGAATTGGTTGTATTCAAAAGCGTGGCATAAGAATAATCATAAGCGACTTCATTAGAAACCTTTATAATATCTCTTTGTGTAAAGTATATAATTTTTTTACTGCTAACCAAATACAGCGCTGTTCTGTGAGAATGTTGAGATATATTATGGCATGCAAACAATGAATGGTAGTGCTCACCTAAAAGCAAAAATAAACAGACAATGATAGCTATAATGAAATCTCTGGAGGGCGTGATGATTCCGGAGGCCAGTAGTTCCAGCTCGCAGTCATGGCCGGTGTAGCCAAATGCGCACACGCAGTCGTAGCGGCGCGCCGGCTCGCGGTCCACGCACGAGCCTCCGTTCAGGCAAGGATTCTCCAAGCACTCGTTCACGTTGACGCAAGTCCCGCCGGCGCGGACCGAGCCCCCAGGACACCTACAAATCTTTACCTGTTCAACTGTCCACTGCGCACTGAGCCCCACAAGCATGCTCTACATAACTATGCTACATATACACAAATACTATACAATGGAGGGTGGTGTGCGAGAGTGATAGTGCGATGATCTAGCGGACACGCGAAAGCGTGGCTAAGTGCTCACTCATAATAATGAGGAGGCAGACGAGGATCGCAGCCAACGCGCCCATGCTCAGCTTCAGGGTCCGGCCCTCTTGTACGAGCTCGCAATTCTCGCCCCAGAACCCTTCGGGGCAGTGGCAGCGGTAGCCGGGCTCGCGGTTCACGCAAGACCCGCCGTTCCGGCACGGGAAGTAAAGGCATTCGTTCTTGTCTACGCAACCTTTACCGTCGGGCGACAATACCAAACCCTCACCGCAACTAAACACCATTCCAATATTAGTTTATTAAATACACATATAAACATAAGCAGTAGTATTAATATAATATGATAGATACAAGGTCAGAGATAATTATATAAATAATAATGTAGTTAAAATAAAGCCGATTAGTATTCATAAGTACTTAAATAGGCAATAATCAAAATTATAATACTGTGTGGAACTCAGCGCGCACTTAAAAGTAACAATAACAAAATTGATAAATGAAGTTATTTATAATTGAGTAGTTTTTCAAGAAATATTATTTTTAACAAAAGTCAAAACATTATTTATTTCAAGTATGGACAAAATTGTGGGAATTGTAATTTGAATTTGTCGATACGTAATCAAAAATCATACTTACGTGCATTCGTATTCATTCCAGAGGTCTACACAGACGAACGGCTCAGTACAGTGGACGTTTATGCAGGGGCTATTTGACGGGCAATTACGGTCCAGGTTTCTTGCCATTGTTGCCTGACCCCATTGCGTCCCATTCATAGCAGGAGGTAAAGGTAAGTGCTTGCCTTCTAACCTAATGTCATCTAAGCATCCCTTTTGAAAGTCTGCATAGACTTCGAACGTTCTAACGCCAGTATATTCGGCCTTTCCACCGGCGTATACGCCTTCCTGCTTGTCAACTAATAACCATTGATGACCCTCGAAAGTAAATGTTTCATTGTATCTCCTTCCTTCTCCGCCATCGATTTCTAAAGTAGCTGCACTCCCGTATCGGCTGACGCGTGCTATATGCCACTGACCATCATCTACAGCGACTGAATTTAGCCAAACGTCACGCTCTTCGGTACGAAGCGAGTTCAAATTGTAACGGAAATGCAGTCGCGCATCCTTTACTTCTAAGATGCCATATTCTCGATTGTGTTGATCGCTTACTCTGAACAGTTCACCATGTGGTTCACGAGTTCTGAATCTGAGTTGGATTTGAGTGCTGAATCGGTCTGGTTCAAAACTTAAAGCAAACTTTACGTAGCTCTGAGGTCTAAAGCTTGTAGGAGTTGTTGGCAAATTGCAGGATGGTCCAGTCCACCCCGGTTGGCACTGGCATCGAGCCTCAGAGAAGCTTCCAACACACGTTCCATGTTCCCAACATCTGGATGTAGTATCTGCTTGGTTGCAAATTTCTTCAGTTTGGGGACACCCGGCCACTGAGTTTCTGGACAGGCCTGGATGAGCTAAGTCATATAATTTGCTGTTATGGATGAGGTTTCGTATACAACCATCAAACCCTTTTCCAATGGGCATGTACTGCCAGTGATAATGAGTTGGATCGAAGTGCTCTATGTATAAACCACCAATTTGCAAAGGCGCATTGACATTCAAATATTCGTTGAAGGGTGGTATAGTACCAGTAGCTTGGCAAGTAGAATCGTCAAATTCTGGTGGTGTTCCATCTTCCATCTCTTGTATATCAGCAGATTTACAGTAATCAACTATCATCCGTACATTTTCAGTATCCCAGAAAATGTCTATCCTATGCCATTCACCATCGTCTAAGGATTTCTTGGTCTTTACTCGAAGCTCTAATGTACCAGATCCAAAGTCAATTAAAAGTCTAGGGTTTCCTCTTTCCAGTTCTACCGATATGAAATCAGAGACCATAATTTCTTCTGGTTCAGGTGGAACGATAGGTCCATTATAAAGTAGAACACCTTCCGATTTCCTAGTTATGAATTCAAAACTTAGATGGGAACTGTCACACATTTCCAAAGCAGGATACCATGCCCATCCGGTGCCACGGAAGCTTCTAGATGTTTGTTGGCACCTTGGTCCAGTATAGCCAGGTGGACACGAGCATGTTAGGCCGTATTTTCCTTCAATACACCTTCCACCATTGTAACATGGTGAGTTGCGACACGTTTCGGCTTGGGTGAAATTCCTGGCTCCACATGTACACTCAGCAATTACATCCACTCTGACGCCAACTAACGCAGTTTTGTTCGCGTTAACCATGTAAGGTAAGTTGCTTATATCGAGGACATTAGTACACGAACCTTCGCACATTTGATTTTCATACAAGCATTCGTCTATTCCAACCATCGTAATATTAATACCCACAGCCCTTTCAATTTCCTCTCTGTGCATGAGCACAATACCATTTAATCTTATCGGTTTATAATAGTGGGCCCCGTGCGCCGAAAACCGAATGTCAGTTACCGGAGGATGTTTCTTCCTCAATTGCACACTGAAAATATCAATATTTTCACGTTCTGTGTTGAGCAGGTCAGCTAATTTATCTTTGAATATATCCAATTTACTTCTTGATACACTAAGAATCTTATAATTCCACACTCTAATGAAATCTTCATCAGATATACCTGATATTCGTATTGATCCTGAGTTTATTAGAGCCTCGTGCGATATTTCTTTGACGTATACCGTAACATTAGCCGGTACATCTGTTTGTGTATGTTTTCTATCATAAACTTTGAATTTTAAGTGGTATCGACCTTCTCTAGTTTTGTGTTTCATTTGTATCATACCTGTTTCTTCGTTCAAAGTAAAGTTCGGATGTTCTGTACTCTCCCAGAAGAATTTCTTATCAGGTAGATCCCAATCATCCAGATCGTATACGTACACTCGTCCAATTTCTGTATCAGGCGCTTGCCCTTGATAGTTGTAGACAAGTATTTCCTTCGACCCTGGCTGCATTTTATTATCATTAACGTCGCCGATGACTACAGTCAGTGTGCTTGTTCCAGTCATCGCGGGATTTCCATGATCCTTGATGATAATGGGAATCAAATACTCTTTTTGTTGTTCACGATCGAATGATCTTAAAGATGACACAATGGCCATACCATCTCCATTGGCGCCTTTTTGGTCTTGTTCTACCTTAAATGAAGCTCTAATGATGTCATCCGCCCCCGGATCTAATCGGAATTGGAAAGGCGGGCCATTGCTCTTTGACCTGTCGTCATCATCAGTGGCCAATATTTCGGCTACCTTCTTAGGTGTAATGTGCTCCGTTAAAACAGGCCTATAGTCTTTTAAGAACGTAGGAGCATTATCATTGATATCTTGAACAATTACAGTCAGAGTAGCTGTTGCAGTCCGCGGTGGTACACCGTCATCAATAGCTAAGATTTTCACCTGATGACGCGGGGTATCTTCTCTATCTAGAGAACGTTGTATACTGACAGTGCCTTCTTGATTTATTGAGAATTGACGCTTACGATCTGACGATCGGTCAATTGCGTAAGATACTTTACTCTTACCACCCTGATCTGGGTCAGTTGCCTTGAACGTCTCTAAACTTTTACCTACTTCTGCATTTTCATATACAGATACTTCTATGTTAGCTCTTTCAAATTGTGGTTTATTGTCATTTATATCTCTAAGTTTAACTACAACCCAAGAATAAGCTACATGATATTTATCGTTGTCATTATCTTCACCCTTATCATTAACTTGTATTCTAAATCTGAAACCATTACTTTGTAATTGGTCTTCATAATCAAGTGGTTGCACAATCTTAAGTGAACCAGTACCGTCATTATTTCGAACCATAGTAAACTTATCAGCACCATACCCACTGTTTTCGATCACTTTGTATTGGAACTTGTTGGTTTCGTCCTCATCGTGAACAGTCACTGTAAGAATCGGCATTTCAGGCAAATTCGTTCCGTCAGTCTCATCGACTTCAGTGAACCATTCATCTTTTGTGAACTGTGGCGGCATATCGTTTATATCTTTAACTCGTATAGATGCTGTCCCCGTTCCTTTTAACCCCCCTCCATCCGATGCTACTATTTGTATAGAATAATCAGGCGTTCGTTCACGATCCAAGCAGCACACTGCAGTTTTAATAACACCAGTTTCAGGTTCAATTTCAAAAATGGGTGATCCAGTTTCTTCTTCTATGACATTTTTCTCAATTGAGTACCAAAGCTTCGCGTTATTACTTTCAGCTGGGTCATCGTAATCTATGGCGGTCATTGTCATAACAACCATGCCGGCGGTGCCGTTTTCTGTGACATTACCGAAATAAACCCCTTGTGGGAAAATGGGCGCATTATCGTTAATATCTTTGAGATTGACTTGGACATCAGCGTATCCGACAAGCCCTTCACCTCCTTCATCTTGGGCAAAAACTGTGAACCTCCATTGCGGTCGTCCATTTGGCTGATCGCGATCTAAAGGCTGTAATAAACATAATTTGGTTACATACAAACCTGGTAAACATTGTTATGAAATGAAATGGTAATTAGCAAAGCGAATTGTTAGGTATTCGACGGTCATTCGGATAGTCTCGTTACAGAAATCCCTGTTCAGGTTATGACATAAATGTAACGCAATAAATGTGTGATTGCATTCTGTATGCACGTCACGCTCCCGCTCGCCGGTCGGCTATCTCTATGCGAGAGTGCATGCTCCGTACCGACAACGGGCATATTGTAAACCGCATCTGTGCATAACAGTCACGTTCGCTTGATGTTTTTTATTCAAACTAACTTACCTTCAAAACGAAAATCTCTCCTGTGGTACGATTGATGTCAAATTTGCTGTTTGAAGGATTATCGGGATCGATGCCTTGTCCAGTTAGGAAATATACAATATTTTGCTGTCTATCCTTGTCCCCATCGGTGGCCGTCACCTGTTTATACAAAATATATTAAAATATCTGATACTTAACTATATGAAAAAAAAAAGAAGTATTTGAAAGCATCTTGAAGGGAGGACTGGAAAATAATAGTATAAATTTTTTAGTCTTTCACATGAACGAGCTTTAGAGCTAGCATTTACTAATTGCCAACGCAATTAAAAAGATTTTACCTTATTCACTTAATCTGAGAGTCTTGGTTTAGATGAAAGGTAGTTGAAGTGTAAGTTAGTAAGTAGCTAGAAACTTGTGCCTAAACAAAACAGGGAATGTTTTTGTTATGAGCAAGCACACGTTGGCATACAGGTATGTTTATTCCGAGTTGGAAACTTGGCCTTTGTACTTTGTTTGATTATCCAATTATATAGCAATAGTTAAGAAAGTTATAGGTTAGCCTTCGGCAACAAAAATATTGTTTTCTTGGTAATAATACGAGTTGAGTCAAAACGAGCTGCTCAATAATTTTATTATTATTCTAACTATAAACTATTTTGATTACCTACTATAGGTATTATTAACGTTATTATATGATTCATCCATATAAATAACATGTTAACATTATACCACTGTCTTTGAAGCGAGGAAGTTCCAGGAAATACAACATAATAAGTACTCGTTATGTAGGTACGTAAACAAACATAAATTTTATTTGTTTCCTAATAAAAATACTGATTTATTTTTACTTTGTCATAGATGTATTATTATGAACCAAAATGATTGATTCTTTCTTTAGTCAGAACTTCGATTTTAGCAATTTAAGCTGAAAATTAATATTAATGAACTCATCTAACTTATCCAATTAATATTTAAATTGCTTAGTGACTTGTTATTTTTGTTTTTATTCATAAAGCAGCTATCGTCGACGAAACTATGCAAATTCATAATTTTAATAGCTGTACATAACGCGTTGAGTTATGAAAACTTGAATATTGTTGACGCCAAACTAAGCTAATTTAAACTGGCCATAACTCTTGAATGGTGTACCAAACACAGAAAAGCCGCCACAAAGTCGTAGTCTAAGCATAATAGAATTACTATTTTATAGTGGGTAGACGCCTCGGAAGTTTTTCAAAGTTATGAACCAGCCAACACTCCAGATTGTTTGCACCGGAGACCGGCGGCGTTGGGCCGTCGGAAGCACCGCAAACTTTCCTCTTTTTAAGGCTTCACACAAAGATAGCTGTGAAAGCGGTAAAAGTTTTAGGACACTATTTAAAGAGGGATAGTGTAAAGGCTCCGCCTAAAATACAGTCAATAACTCCGTGCGACGGGCAAGAGAACAGTAATTGTGAGTTATAGGCGGATTGCGAGTTTTTAAGAGTCTAGCGGAGACATTATTCACCGGGGTATTGATATAACGTGTATGTAGCGCAGGGAAGTCTCCAATTACGGTCCGGACGGGAGATGAAGAGGGTCGACGTTTGCGTAATTACTCGGATCATTTGCGAATCTCTCTCCAATTATAAAAAAAGCTTGTCACTACAAGCGACTTGGGACGAGGGCTTTACACCGATGCTGAATAGACATTTTACTGATTGAACATAAAAGCATCGTGAGGCTAATTTTGCACGAGTGATAATTCCACCTGAAAATACCCGTGAAATCATGTTACGTTTATTTTTTAGAGGAAAATGTGAAATACTTTTTCATCGCAATCCTGACTGGACGAAAAGGAAAATTGAAACATAATATAATTTGAGAATGGTTGTGGGATTTCTTTATGTGTTGTGGGTAATTTTGCGAACAATTGAATGAGAGGAGAGGAGTAGGTATTCCAGCTGAGTGTGGGCGTTTGTTCAGTGGGAAGTTTAATGCGATTTATACTCGTAAGATGCATCTGAGCTACTTCTGTGATCTCTGGCTTGAGAGCAATCGCGCGTGCTAGTAGTTCTTTGATGTGTAAAATGTGTTAGAGTTAACATATGAACGTTTCAACATTAATTTGTTTTCTTTACCTATAATGAAATTTAAGAAACAAGTTGCAAATAGTAAATAAGTGTAATACTTACGTAACATAAAATAAATTGGTACCTACAATAACGATCTACCTAAGACCAAAACAACGAAAAATGTCTAAATTAGTTTGCAAAAGTTGAGCAGTCGCAAATTGGCCTCAATACATAAACATGATTGTAGGTTTCATTAGAATTCCTAAAGTTTTGAGAGGCTCTTAAAACATAGACGTTTCGGGAAATCAAATGAAACAAATGCCAAGTTTCCAATGTCGTAATGAAAATGAAACACACAAAAAGCAAACCACTAAAAGCATTCAATTTACCTTTGGAGAATACCTAGTAAGATAAACACAACATTAAATATACTCAACGTCAAATAAACCGCACCTTCCGCGACGCGAACTTTAAAGATTTTCTTCTGACACAATCATGGTGCCCCAACAATATTGGTGTTATTTGAAAGCCCAATAAATAAACTTAAATAAAAACACATTTAATTTCTTAATAAACGATTAACATATACCATAAATGTGACTTGAAAAAAGACCTCACTTGGGGCTCACTTCTGGGATCAATTAGACCAATTTTTATGGTTATAAAACCAAATAATGATCTCACGTGTGCTCTTTAACAGATGGATAGCGATTAATCCCAACTTAACAGTTTTATAGCCATAAAAGTTGGCTCAAGCGTAACTACCTATTTTTTGAAGAAGTGACTCTGGATCCTTCTAAAGACACATTTTTGGGGTAAAAACCTTTCCTTTAATGAAACGAAGTTCAGAACTAGGCTTTTAAATGGTGCCAATATTGGTGGGAAGTCGGGATGCATACGTTTGAAAATAAATAATTGTCGCGGGAGGTGCGATTTATTTGATGTCAAGTGTAGTTAGTTAAAGCCATCTACAGCACGAAAGACCAACACCAACCACTAATACACCCAAATAAGTTATTCCCAGAACTCTGCTAGTTTAAACATTAGACATTATAATAAATTAACGCTATGGGATTTGATTAAAAGGAGTTTGGTAAGGTTTTAAAAAACAAAAAGTCAAAATTAAAAAGAAGAATCAAACCATAAAGTCGTAATGTCCAACTAACAGAAAAAATAAAAACAAATGAACGTTGACGTAGACACGCTAGTATCATTGTTGGCACAAACATAGGTATAGGTATAACTATTAATGATTAATTCATGAACCTCTACCTGCGAACAGGGTTTTGGAAAGTCACAATTACCAAATGAAACCCGTCTATGTTGAAAATGCATTGGAAAACGTACGTTAGGTAACGTAACAAGAAAATTGACTAAACTACAATTAATGAACTTTTGAGTTTCCAATATTTAAAGCTTTTTGCAAATAGCTAGTAGTCCAGTCAATGAATGCCTTAACGACGGTGTAGAGAGAAATCCGTGGAACACAATTTCTGACCTCGGGACTTTATTCAGCCTAGTTAGGTGGTGAACATAGCAAAAGTCCCCGCCCTTAGCCCTTGAGCCGGCGGGGAGAGGGGGGTTTAAAGGTACCACTTTTCGGTTTTTCGCTTAATCCTCGGAAACTATGCGTCCTAGTAACATGACTACTATGAACCATAAAAAGCTTATTCAATTTGCTACAGGTGAGACCGTCAAGTTTTTCTATATCTTGTATAGTTTTTGCGGTTTCTGCTCTAGAAGGTCTGTAAAATTGGAAATTTTATTGTCGTCTTACATGTTCCTTTCAGGAGAAAATCAACTAAATCAACATTGAGCAAACACTATAGACATGCGGGAGCATGTTAAGCCTAGTTCCATGGAGGGGACTGCACCGTGCGTATATTTAGACGAACCAATTAGAGCCACTTTTGACTCCTCATCATTCAAAAACTACTGTGCATTAACACTTCAAATTTGGCTCATGTATTGAGACTTGCAAGATGTACATCAGCTTCAAATTTCATAAATATACCTCAAACGGTTATTTAGGTATTGACGTTCAAAAATCGATATTTAGAGCACTACTATCTATCTATCACATGTGAAATGTTAAAATTTACTGGTTTTTTATTTGTTCCTTTGTATTTACATAACTACCTTTCTGGATGCCAAATTTGAACCTTCGAGGTCATCTGGAAGTGGTTAGAATTTGGTCTATAGGTCAGACATGTAGATTTTTGGACGTCAATATCTAAAGAACCGTTTGAGGCATATTTATGAAATTTGAAACTGATGTATATCTTGCAAGTCTCAACACATGAGCCAAATTTGAAGTGTTAATGCACAGTAGTTTTTGAGTGATGAGGAGTCAAAAGTGGCTCAAAGTGATTCGTCTAAATATACGCACGGTGTAGTCCCCTCGCTGGAACTAGGCTTAACATGCTCCCGCATGTCTAGAATGATTGCTCAATGTTGATTTAGTCGATTTTCTCCTGATGGGAACATGTAAGACAAAAATAAAATTTCCAATATTACAGACCTTCTAGAGCAGATGCCGCGAAAACTATACAATTTATAGAAAAACTTGTCGATCTCATCTGTAGCAAATTGAATATGCTTTTTTTGGTTCAAAGTAGTCATGTCACTAGGACGCATAGTTTCCGAGGATTAAGCGAAAAACCGAAAAGTGGCACCTTTAAACCCCCCTCTCCCCGCCGGCTCAAGGGCTAAGGGCGGGGACTTTTGCTATGTTCACCTCCTAACTAGTCTAAATAAAGTCCTGAAGTCAGAAATTGTGTTCTACAGTTTTCCATCTATAATGCTTTATTGACTGGACTATAGTAGTAGTAAGACTTAATCTGAGCAAGCATAATATGGTCATTGTCAAACAAAAATAAGAAATGTTTAATTTCCAATTCTTGAATTTATGTGAATGTTTTAATAAGCGATATTGACTTTATAACAATAGGTTTAGTATTAAGTAATTAGCCAACTCTCGTGTCTTCGTCAAAAAATAAAACAAAACAAACAAAAAAAAAACCTGAATCAAGGAGTGGGGGAAGGGTCCGGTTTCTTCCAGCGCCTGCGTGACGTACACGCTGCGTGAAAACCGCGGCGGTAGATCGTTGACATCCAACACGCGTATGACGACGCGCGTAGAATTCTCGTTGCGCCCATCCGAAGCCACCAGCGTCAGCTCGTACTGTGCACACGCACACATTAACACACACATGCCATGCCACGCTAATACTTACTTAAAAAAATAACGGTCCACCTAAAGTTTATACAACTAAGTGATTTTATACCACTCTTTGATGATCGCAAAGTTAAATTAAAGACAGACGTAAAATAAACTACGAGTCGTAACTTTGACCTTTTCTGCGAAAAACCTCCATTTTCTATTTGTATTATTGACTGTTGCGTCACCAAGCGGTCGGTTCTCAAGGGGAACAAAAAGTGACGAAGTAATAATTTTAAAGTGCCCCTTACTTAGGTAAAGATATTTCAGGATCGAATCAAACTATTTGTCTGATAAGAAAGGGTTTTAGGTACAGTCACGGAATGAAAAGGTTCGTCAGTTTTCAAATTGATTCCTTCAACGAATCGCGAGCACATATTATTACCTTTTGAAACTATGTTACAGAATAATCTCGAGTTAGAGAAAATAATCTTTAACTGTTCGTCAGTAAAGTTCAAAATTATCCAGATCAAAGTTGTTTGACGATTTATCTTGTCAAGAAGATTATTATGATTGATAAACTAAAACCTTCTTGTTGGTTCAACCTGCCATTATTATTTCTATTAAATAAAAAAAAACTATTGTCAATTGGTCAATGTCATCATTGCATTGCACTGATGGGATAGAAAAATAAACAAGCAAAACCTTATTTGTTAGCAAACGTCATATTTATTTAAATGTTAGCAGCACTGTTTCTTGCACTGTTAAGTTGGCAGGTTTGACTCTCACAGTACCTAGTGCAAGCGAAAACCGACACTAAGGTGACGAACCTTTTCATTCTGCGACTGTACTTTGGAGGGCATGTAGAGCTTTTTGTCTTTTCACCACGATATATAAGTATTATTGCCTCTCCGACTACCTGGTATTGATTATATTATTGCATTAAATATGGACCGCAATGGATTAAATTTTGTAGGACCGATTAGTTTGTTGTTAACAGTTTTGAAATAACCCCGTTACATCATATAATATTTATAACCATACGAAGTTAAGTTGTTGAATAACAAATTTGAGGTTTGCCGTTTATGATGGTGACCTAAAAACTACACGTTATTCTGCTGTATTTCATTTATAATTCCCTCATACATTATGATAATTCACTGGCGAGGTCCGGTCGCTATAAACCAATAATGCCCTTTGGAGCTTTGCCTGTCACCGGCCTTTATGGGCTAACTTTATCTATGGCTGACAATTGTAACATGAACATTAATTCAAATTCCAAATTCAAAATAATTATTAGCTTGTCCCACCACCATTTAATTTTCGGGACAACATATTGGCTGATGAGAAAAAGTGATGTAAGAAACTCAGTTGCTTTAATAAGCCTAAGCTCTTCTTTATTTCAGGCATACCATTTACGTGGTTTATAATACGAGTAAGTGCGACCTAGGCAGGTGAAGGTTATATTATCTTTCTAATAGTAATTAGAATTTGTTAAACAGGTAGTCCTACAAGAAATACTTTATTCAACATTATAATACAATTTCTCATAGAATAAAGTAACCTGAAATTTGGAACGTAAGATCACCTATTCGAACCAGGTAAGTAAAATAAAAGCTCGAGTACAAGCACAGTCCAGTTTGTAATTCAGTTGGTGTATTGTCCACCAATTTATTATGTCCCACGCGGCTCACCACCCGCATATTAGCTTTATTTACCGAGGTTCCCGTTAAATATATTTCCTGGAATATAAAATGTATTCAGTTCGCGCCGTAAAATTCCGATTTGCAGCAGATAAGTTACGCTGCAATTTTATCCTCGGTTTTACGGATACAGTTTTTTTATGTCCCTGTTTTTAATCACCGAAGAAAATAATTCTTTATTGGCTAAATTGAGCTTATTTACTCATGAAACACAGGGGAAAATACTATTTAATATTTGAACATTTTTACTTCCATGTGAGATATATCGCATTAATGTTTGCGTAAAAATATTTGCTTTGTAAATAATGTCGTCATCAAAAATGTTTCGATGGAAGCCGCAGCGGATTAATCGGAATGAAGAAGTTAATTTACGCCGTGGGAGGAACTTTACGGGTTTTGCGCAATAATTGAAAAGTACAAATTTGAAACGCGCTCCCGGCGAGCCACCCAGCTGCCGAAGTTCCCGTCATTATCGTTATAAAAATGGAGGAAACTCGAGTTTCAATTCGTAATTGTATTTAAAAATACTTTGAGTATTGACGGCGGCGAACAAATAAATATTAAGACGTTTGGTTGTTTAAAGAACATTATCATGCCGGCACGGCATTACGCGATCCAATGAGCTTCAGACGGTATCTCGAACGGCTCTGCTTCCATTTTCGGTTAGTAATTTCAATATGAAGGCTTCACTGAAACGCGATGAAATTCTAACAAAGTCGGAGAATAAGACATTTCAATTTATGTCGTTGTAGTCTCCGGCATCTATCATATATCTTTTGGAGGCTATATGGGATATTGTGATTTATTGGTCCATCTAATTTTATTATGATTTTTCGATATTAGGGCATATCATATATTCCCTGGATATAGCTATATGTATTAAAATACTTATATTGACCTGAAATATATATTTTGTAAACATTTTCACATTGAATGTACGACATTGACGGTTCTATATTGGCTCACATAAAATTCTAAATCATATTCTTTGTCTTACTACCGATTTGTGTTCATAATAATCTCTCTTCATAATTTTATTTTTCATACTTTTTTTATTCATACATTTTTATTACTACCATCGGAGCTCATAACAGTTAGTAATCATAATTTTTTTATCAATACTGTTACTACCAAGAACCATTTAAAATACATAATTTTTATTTTCAGATCTTTTTTCTTTATAACATTCATTGATCATATTGTTTTAATTAATAATGTTGTTACTAAGAACATACTTCAACTCATAATGTTGTTGTTCAGAATAATTTACTTTATAACAGACATACTCGTATCTTTAAAAAAATCATATATAATTTAATAGAGTAGATAAGCATGCAGAGCATGCAGCATGAAAGCAAGCATGCAGCATGCATTGGTATCTCCTCGTCTCCGGCGCTGCGGGATGTGCAGCCCTTCCGCCCTTGCGTAACGAGGCTCAGGCACCCACGCTTGCTTCCGCAGCTTCGGCTTTTTGGATCGCCATCGGCGCCTTCGGCGCCTCGGCGACCAGCCTCAGCCGCTCCAGCTCACCCGGGCGCCTGAGCCTCGTTACAGCGGGCGAGGGCTGCCCTCCCTCCGCGCCTCCGGCTTTTAAATTACACTCTAGGGGTAGGGCAGACAAGACTACGTGGAGTCGGTTTTGCAGCGATTCGTTTCTGTCACGTTAGTTTTGTGGCACAAAATATTGCCTGTTTTGGACCATTTCAAATTAATTTAATGTTAAAATACGATTTAATACGAATATAGACATCATGATTTTCAATAATATGGATAAATACACTTATGAGTAATAAATTTATGAAAACAAATATTAGGATACATCACATTTATGAATATTATAGTTATTTATTCGAATGATTATGAGTTTCGATCATTAGTATAGAAAAATATATGAAAACAAATATTAGTAAAAACTAAGTGTATGATTAGTGATATTATGAATATCAATGATTATGTTTTTAAATATGTAGGTTTTAATTTTTTTATGAAGAATGATCATTATGGTATCAAATTGTATGAGAAATATTTTCGGACCTCCAATGATAGGAATTGAAAAGTTATGTAAGAAAATGCGCTACCACATTGACACAATAATGTGCCAGGAAGAAAGAACAAAAAAAAATTGTTCATAATAAATCAAAAGTTGTAGAAACACGACACGTCGCATTGGTAATATTTCACGACCGCTTTCATCACCCATTGTGAGGTCGCATAAAAGAGGAAAGTAAAAAAATTCAAGAGTGCAAGATACTGTATTCGACGACGACCTCATTCTGGAACCGCAGACGGGCGCAATAAACAAGTTGGATGCAAATAAAACAACAAAAATACAACAACAAGACGGACACTAGCAACGGAACGATTCTACGAAACAAAACAGTGCCACAAACGAAATCCATGCCATGCAAAAATCAAACATCTAAAAAAAAAGTCGAGGCGAAATCTACTGCATCATTTCGATTGTTCATCGATTTGACGCCTACGGCAATCGAGGAATCGATTGTGACCTGTAGAACTCGTTTGGGTAGGTTTCTGTCGTCTTCCTCGGTGATCTGAGTGCGGTAGGTGGGCCTCTCGAACACAGGCGGGTTGTCGTTGACATCTTTGACGTGGATAACGACCGTGGTGTAGTTCTCCTTCAGGTTATCCGACGCGGCCAACTTCAGCTCGTACTGTTCCACAATTTAAAACAAATGAACACCCAGAATATGCAATTTGAATTGGATTGGACTGTTTTATAATATGCCTTTGCTTGCTTTTGTACTCGCATAGATTTAGGTTCAAAAATCGCACTGTATTGAAATGTACGAAGATTTATTTCAGTGGTAGCGTCTGCATTTTAAGTAAAATAATGTTAGTGGTAACAGACATCTACAAACCGGGTAAAATTATAAAAGATGCTAGCAAATAAAATATTTTACTATATTTTTGCGGAGCAGACTGTTTTAATCTCGCCGTAAGTAACTATATCATGAAGTAATTTAAAAGAAAAAGTTTAACGAAAGAAGAACGGACTGTAATTAACTTTATTAAAGTATATCCCAAAGAAAAGTCTTTGAACCAAGCACGGAACCACATTTTAACAGCTTAATTACAAAAACGTTTCACAAATATAATTTAGAAGTTGTAAATTAGTTGAGTTCTTTAAATTACTGTAAAATTACGTAGCCTGTCTTTATGGCATCTCCCCATTTATTGTCATTTTGAAATAAGGAAATATTAATGGCATAATTTTTCAGTTTGAAAGCTTAAACATCGTGGTCGCTTGATACGAATATCACAAGTTGGACTTCAAGAACCAGGTCGAATATATTAAGTTTTTGTTGTGTGTTAGATTGAATAATATTTTTTCGGTTTTCTACTTCTTGAAAGTATGTCATTTTTTATCAGCACTATACGCTTCGATATAAAATGTTATACTTTATTAAATTGGGTAGATTCTGACTGAATAACTTTTAAAACTAAAATCATTAACTCACAGACTTACAACGGTAATTATGCGGTGACATTGTTCTCAAAATTTACTGTGACCAAAACTCTGTTTCCAAAATAGAAAGACTATTCAGCGACCCGTGGAAGTTATTGGTGTCATCTGTCAGTGTCGCTAAGTAATTTCCTCGGTCGAGGGGGACGTTAGTACCGAGCTGAATATCTGACGCATAATATCTACACCTAGTTTGAGCGATCTTCATTTGATGCTGATATTGCACACCGGTGGAATCCATCCAATATTAGTGTGATACTCAATTTCGACAATCGAATACCAGCATTATCCATTCAGTTTCTGAAGAGCTATTATCTAGCGAGGCTCAGGTGGACTTGCTCGGCTCTAGCTGCGTATAAAGACCCGCTAGAAGCTAGGAAATAACACAATGCAAGGCTTATGTAGGTATCTCGTACAGGCTAAAGAGATTTACTTATTCTTTTCAGTTTAAGTACGAAACACTGCAGTTAAAGGCTCTTTAAAGCAAATGTTGACCGAGGAAAAATCTCTACGAGTGGACGTTTTCTGTATAATTTTAGAGGAAAATTCAATGCGGAATGTTAAAAACTTTTGTGGGAACTAAATACACTAATGTACTCAGACGATATACAGTCTTCATGGTTTTCTGTAAACGTTTTCAGTGCTTGTTATGATTGGCTGTAAAATAAGTTATCTCTAGCAACTTCCGTAGTTAGTAGTTTTAACGTAAAAACTATGAATCAAAGTTTTTAGTAACTTGTTCCCGTGAACGCTTTGCGAGTCTTCAGCTGAATAGCGATACAGCCTGGCAGCCACCGCTCGCTTAAATAGGTATTAAAGATTAAATTATTTATCTCAGAAAGTTCGGAGGAACTTTGCTGAGGCCGTTACAAAGACTGGCGAGGTACAGTCTGCTCCGCGACGCTCCACCGCGATGTTTTTAAATTGAACCGCCAGGGGCAAAGGAAAAACGTCTCTTGAAACGTTTAAAAGCGTTTATTTTAGCGCGAAATTACGTTCAAAAGACTTCGAATCCTTTTAACTCGACTTACTTCCAAATACTTCCAATAACCGAAAATAGAGATGAGCAAAAAATAGTTTGTAATTTATTTACAAAAGTCTTAAGTAGGTATTATTTTGATGTGCTTAGGTTACCACAAAGAAAATTCAAGTGAATTCTAGATAAATTGGTGAAAGAGACTACTACTGCTCATAAATCAAAGCAATTTATTTACTTTAGCAAATTATTATACTCGAATGTTTATTGAAAACAAGTACTCGTTCGTAGATGTTTCGATTGCGAGTGTAAAAGTAAAAGCCACCACTGTGTGTCCGCTATTACGTATTCAAGTCGAGCGAGCATAAGTTCCGGGGGTTGAAAACTGTCGAAATACTGTGTTTTCTTTTTGCGAAGTCAAGAGTTAGCACGTACTTTTACGTACCACATACATGAAGACCAGTGCACTTTGACAGACCTCGAACTCGATCCTCTAACGCCACTGGTAAGCGGCAAATACAGCACACAAATACGTCCTCGTTTTGGAAAACGACAGGTCCCGCTTACAAGTTCCATTAGTGTTCGCGAACTCGCATCACAGTAATGTTTCCAACAAAATGTATAAAAAACTTTCCTTTTTCACATTCCCAACCCTAGCCGGAGTCGGATATAGATTTATTTCAACATTTATATTCCGAATACACTGGTGGCTCTTATCGCCTCTCTCAGGGACCATTTGTCAATATTAAAAGCTTCTAGTTGTTTTCAATATCTACAACCTAATTTTTTGCGGTTTTTATTAATGTTATATTATACACGATTAAATTTATTTGAATATTTTATCAAAGTCAGTTTTAAGCCTTTGTTAGATCGAATATCTGAATGACAAATTCATTGATCAGTTTTACAAAACGAAATTAGTCTTTGTGTCATTTCGATTCGGAGAAAAGTAAATCTGCGAATCCAATTCCGTTGCTTAAATAATAACTCGATATCTGAGAACTGAATGACGATTTAATTTGTCAACAACAAAACAATATCGGTCTGTGCTTTGTTACGTTCCGAAGTAATGAAACATTTGAGTGGTATTCCGTCATTTTCTTTGCAGAAGACTCCGAGTGAGTTTGATTTGTTATTGAGTCGCATCCACTCTGAATTTCCTGTCGTCGACAGACAAAACTTCCTTTCAAAATGGGTTGCTTTTGATTAATCGTATTTATATGTAGGTCGTACCTTATCTAATATTATGCAATGTTATGGTTCGGAGTTTTGAACATCCGATGTCATAAAAGTAAATGTAAATATTTACATGTTAATGCAATAAACATAAAGTAACACATTTTTCATCCATTAAATTAATATGTATGTAAAGACAAACTAATTTAACGATAACTTTATAAGTAGTCCGTGCCAATAGACTTAAGAAATATCTATCGATCAAAAACATAGAATACTCGTATTTCACTAGCAATTAAAGAATAACCAAATCAATAATGACCATAGACAGTTGGGTTGATTTCATTTATTTGCAACATTGATAGTCTATTGGCGCGGACTGCACGTCATATCATTTTCATGAGACATGTAAAAATAAATAAAACCGTGCACACAGACTTAAACTCACCCGTTTCCTAGTTTCGTAGTCGAGCGCGCCGGCCACGTAGATGGCGCCAGTCATGTTCTTGACGGCGAACGCGCCGCCTATGTTCCCGCTCGTGATCTCGTATCGAATACGCGACGCTGCAATGGAATAAACACGTTAAGATTACGTTAGCGGACTTTATGCAAACTCACTGTGCGACTCACGGGCATTTTCAAAGTTACATTTACACTTTGGGCACAGATTTGCTAAGTTTCGGGCAGAGAAAGCTTATACACCTTTAAGTGCTAGGGAGTTGTATTGCGAAGACAGTATCAACGCTCAGTTATACACAGTTTAAGTGAGTGTAGATAACTTTTAGTCGTGAAACTTTCAGTGGCAATTGATATTATGAGACAATTATAGGAAGGTATACACCTATCTAAGTATTCTAGATTTCATTATTATAAGCCAGTTGTGTGTTACATAAACTTTTCCAAACGTTAGAGGAATATCACCCAATTATTACGTACATAATCACGGAAGACCTTTGCATACTGTCTCCATTATACTGTGGCACACTGTGCGCCGGTTACCGCGGAATAAATACGTTAAGCTGTTAATGGAAACTCACTCTTACTAGGACAATAGCATTTTCAGAATGGAATTTTAGGCAGCAGATACATGGTACCATGTGAAAGGGTAACGACCACACGATGCTTTAACTGTTCACGGCGTGATGCCATTTTGTCTAAAATATTATCGTAGCAAGACAGTAGGAAGTAGGTAGGTACAAACTGAATATCATTATTTTTTGAATAATGATGTGTATGGCACAATGTAATTAATAACATTATCCAAATTAATTATATTAAATTTGTGCCATACCTCCACGATTGGGAAATTTGATTCTGCGAAATGCAAGTGGTTACTTAACATGAAATACAAGTGAAATGGTATTTCCATCAAAATTAATGTACTCGTATTTTCGAGTATTTGATATGCAAACATCGAAAATTACTCTGATATTAAGCATTTAAATCCACGAGAATTTCGAGATTATCAGGTAGGAATTTTGCAATGTTGTTAATATGAATTTACTGCTTGAATAAATGACTTTTATTAAAAAAATACAGACCATAATTGATTATATTGAAGTGATTTTTATTTAAAACTAGCTTTCCGCCCGCGGCTTCGCCCGCGTGGAATTTTGTCTGTCACAGAAAAACTTTATCGCGCGCGTCCCTGTTTCAAAAACCGGGATAAAAACTATCCTATGTTCTTTCCCGGGACTCAAACTATCTCTATGCCAAATTTCATCAAAATCGGTTGCGAGGTTTAAGCGGGAAAGCGTAACAGACAGACAGACAGACAGAGTTACTTTCGCATTTATAATATTAGTTGGGATGGGATAATAGGTACTTTGTTGCAAAATAAATTAACCTGCATTAGTATTCCAAACTGGAATAGGCAATCATAATTATATACGCCTGTGTTTGAATATTAACTTAACCAGTTTAAAATACGCCAACTTTTTCCCGAATTTAAACAAAACTTCTGCTTAAGAATAAGAGTTTGGGAGTTGTTTGAATTTTAGGAAATTACTTCCTTTGTCATGTAAATGTCTTAACATCTGAGTCGTAGATTATTACCGGTAGACAAAAAAGGGTGCGGTGAGGTGCGAACGGCTCAATCCGAGGGGATATGGCCGAAAGTTGGGCCGAAGCCGAAAGTTCAAGGGTCGATCGCGTTGATGGCACGCCACTATATCATAGCTCCTTCTTTAACATGCGCAGGTAGGTACTTTAACGAATTGGTTGGAGAAAAAATTAGGGAGATTTACCTAACAGATTTTTAGCAACGTCGCGTCGTTTGTATTCAATCTTGTTCAAGGTGTTCACGTTTTAACGTTAAATAAAATTACGGCTATTAAATATGTTCGATGGAGCTCTTTGTACAACGGTCAACTGTGTTTATTCGTTTGATATAACGATCAAAACTCCAAGGAGCAATCCTCAGCTGGGATTATCATTTTATCAGCAAGTTTTGTTTATGTAGAAAGTTCAATTTGTATCTAATATCTTCAGTTACACAAAGGAGTCATTTCAAAGGGTTCAAATTCATAATCTATATTTATGTTTGGGCCCCAATATTGCCTGTGGAAATTGTTTGTGGAGTCCGAAGTTTAAATTTTCGTGTGTGACATTGGGTGGTTCGGATGACGGTCGGCAGCGCACGTTCTGAGTTTATCTTGCTTAAATAGTAATTGGATTTCCATTACTAGTAATGGTCAGGGTTTGTAGATAAGGGCCGCAAGTTGGAAAGGACTGCCCGGGCCATGATTGTCGGAAGATTGCTTTCATTTCAGCTAGAGTAATGTAAGGACGTATTTTTGTACGCCGCAAGTTACGGCCGGGCAGGTTGACCAATTTTTCAATTAATAGCCAATATTACCTCAGAATGTTGCAAATATTTTATGAGGAAACATTATTAGTGTTCAATATTCCAAACTGTAATGTATTATACTCGTAGCAAAATTGATTCCAAGGAAATTGTAGTCAGAGCACACTCGATCAATTACGACACATTGGATTGCCATTAATTAAAGGTGTTTTATCTGAAGCTCAAGTAAATACTTACAATCGGATTAGTATTGGGATAGGTATTACGGGTTTGGATTGATTCAAAATGGGATCGAGAATAATTTGACTCTTTCAGAATGAAGATCTATTGTTTCGATTTCAGTATTCTTCGCTGAGCGTATAAGAATAACAGTGTTACCTATATGTACTTATTAACTAAAGTTATGGGAGTTGGTGGACGCAGTTATGGGGGGGTTGATGTGATTGTCTCATTACAACATAAGTAGTCGCTGGCTGAAGACAAACAACTTCCGGCAACTGTTACATAATGAAAGCCTTATAATCCTTCACTGTCAAAGTTGCCGTGGTCCCACAAATTTTTATGTATATTGTGTTTATTCTTGATGAACAGAGGAGAAAGACTGAAGAGTATAAGATTTCTTGAGGATGAAATTACGATAACACTATTTATTTATTTATTTACACTTTTGCACATACAATTGTACAGTGGCGGACTTAATGCCAGGTGGCATTATCTGCCAGTCAACCACAGGTCGAGTAGAGAGACTATCTAGGTTAAGTATTTTTTTTAATAAATCGTTTTACTTTTTTGTTCAACCTCTTGGATGGAATCATTCCCGTAGCAAATAACAAAAATATTTGTTTGAGATACAATAACATTAAAACTTTTGCAATTTAGCACAGAGTAATAATGCATCAACAGATGATATTAATGTTTCTATACATTTTCGCCAGAAGTAAAATAAAAGAACCAAAAAGTTGATAAGGTCCTTACCTTTGAGGCTCCTTAGCCTTCGAACAAATAACTTTCCAAACACCCTCGTAAAGCCTACAGCTATTCATACTTGAAACATTTATCATCCGAGAAAGTAGGTAAAGCGAAAAATACTTAATAAGATAGACTTCAAAGACATTTCCTTTGATATTGGTGTGGTATTTTGAACTGTAGGTACTAATTTCCGCGACTATTTGGAAAAGAAGATTGGACTAGGTCAGAAAATAAGCGTAATTGCTGTTCTGAGCAGATGTCTAAATTTGAGTAAACACAAACCAAACCTTATTAAACTAGTTCCAAATAAGTGTTAACGGTCTACAAAAGCCTACACCTTAAATTGAAATAAATAAAAACTATGGCCTCATTAGTAGAAAAAGTATTGTAAAAGTCTTTGATTCCGAGGGAGCAAAAGTTTTATGCGAAACCTTCCAAAGTTTCACTTAGTTACGATTGATAGGAAAAAGTTAAAAGATTTTTTTCGGCGATGGCAGGAATGAAATATACCGTCCTTTTGTTACTAGAACAGAAAGTAAAGAAACAAACTTGCTTTTACGAAACTTACCTTGCGGAACGAAATAACTAATTTAGGTGAATGGTTTTGGATTAGAAGGCCCAGATATGTTTTAATTGATTGACGATGAACCTAATTATTTTTTATTTTGTATCAGTTTCTTTTAGAAGAGCTTCACAAACTAATTACCTACTCAGCTATCAGTATTTTCTGTGGTTCATGCAATCGCCAGTAGCTAAATCAAAAAGTTTGAGAAAAAAATACCAAAAGCAACATTTTTCTGCTCTAGCTTGTCAACTTTTAATAGGTAGGCAATCATGAACCAGAAGTTTTGCTTGTCATCCCTATAACTTTGCTGTACAATTTCGGTCTAAATTATTGTATAGGTCCTAACCATATCAGAATACTATTACATTATTGTAATTACTGCTATTATTAGCATATGCCACTAGATTACAAGTAACAAGTATAACGCAAAGGCAAGTTCTAACAGTACCTAATTTAATTGCACATTATGCCTTCTACACTTTGAGAAATTTGCAAGCTTCCTACAATGTGAACCGCATTATTTCATAATGAGAAGTCATATCACAGAGCTACACAAGCCATAACGTGCGTGATAAAGTTAATATAATTAGGTGTGTTTTATGTGTGTGCTCGCGAGATACCGCGGGCCCTTGAGGCGGCGGCATTTTATTGCAACCCTGTGTTACCTCTACAGCGAATCTCATAATTATAAAGCCTATCATCGACTAGATCAGAGGAACGTATCGCTTAAGCTCACACATTAAGCGAGGATTCCGCGCGCCTCTACACACAGATAGATACAGGTTCTCAGAAAATGAGAGCGCTGCGAGTGAATCGATACGTAAGCAGCAACTTGTGATGATTTAGTCATGTTAAAAAAGGAACTACCCATTTTTGAAATTTGCATACATACAATGTCCACCATATTGTTGCTAATAAGTAATGATGGACTGCAATAGTATCAATGTGTACACATTACAAATTAGAAACAACACAGATTACATTCTAGGTAGGTACCTAAATTCGCGGTACACGCGGGATAATGAACGTATACAATATTCTCTAGCTAATTGGCCTATAAAGAAGGAATACCCCCACCCTCTCCCCTGAAATTCATTTTAGGGAACACGACTGCGTTGAGCGTTGCTACAAGTGAAAGGCTTCTGCTTTGAATTATTTTGTTTATAGCTCTTTAGCTTTTTTTTGCGGCCGTCAGCGTTAAAAAGCTTACGTCCGTTTTTCTTT